TTTTATGCTGTTTGGAGCTTTGGTTTCTGAGATTTGTACCTATCTTTGATGGGTGGAAGTTTTAAAACCAATTCCGGCTACAAGCACACAAGACCCATCAGGGTCTAGGGTGAGCAGGGTAGGGTGGGTGTCAGAGTCTTGTGCCAGGACACTGCTCTAACTCTGGGCCCCCAGCACTGTGCCCCCCGCCAAGTACAAGGAGAGACTCCAGGAGCAGAGCCAAGTGGAGGCAGGCCCCCTCTCTGATCAGCAGGGGCTGGGGTTACTCAGGTAAACAGCCCTTTTTCCCAACCTTCAGCATACTCTGGCCTGAGCCTAAGAACCAACCTGAGTTTTGCAGGCAAGAAATAGAATAATCCTGAGAAAAGGGGTCTGGAGAGTTTGGGGAAACCATATGGATTCCCAGCCAATGGTTCTTTGTGATTCTTAAAACCCATGCAGAAAGCTGCTGGCCCATGCCCCAGGTACTCTCAGGCAGCCCGGCCCGGCCCCCCCTCCTGCTCCCATGTCCTTGGCCTCAGTTCCACCGACCTCCTGGTGAGGAGGCCCGTGAGTGAGCTTTGCCACCGGCGAGGGGGTGGGAGGCAGACCGGGGCCCAGCTTTTGTCCTCCTGCTGCCCTTCTTAGGCCTTGAGCTGACTCCCCCGGCCGCTTGATTCAGAAAACTGCCTCCAACCAGCCCCTGCTCTCCCAGCCTTCCTTTGACTCCCTGCTGCTTTTCACTCAGCAGATGGCTATTTCCACCTACCTGTGTGCAAACCTCCAGCAGTCTCTGTGGGGCTGGTTCTCACTCAGGAATAACAGCAGGTGAGGAACTGCCTAAATTTTCTCTCCTCCACCCCAGTGAACACCACTGTGCCTCTAAGCACTTGACCTTCACAAGCAAGTGCTTCGGAGGACAAGAGGCACGTAGGTCATGGCGCAGCCCCGTACAGACTACAGAGGCCTCGCAGCGAGGGGCTAGCCAGGCTCCCGGAAGCACAACCCCTTAATGAGTGAAGTGTGTTGGTATGGTCAGGAGTGCCAGAGAGGCCCAAGGACTCCTTGGGGCACTGGCCTGTCCCAGCCTTCCCGAGGGCACCAACCTTCCCAGGGCTCTTCCTAGAGGCTGACTCGTGGGTAGCTGGGCAGAGCTGGGAAGGTGCATCTTTGGGGCTATGATTCTAGAGTGGCCTCTCTTGCAGGGCATGAAAAGCCAAACCTTGGAGTAACCTGCGTCTCCACCCACTCAGGACCAAACCCTCGACTCCTGGGACACCCACCACGTAATAATGAGATTCACCCTTCCTCCCTCTCGATTGTCACATCAAGCCCAACGCTCGCTGGGTTGTTACAGAGCTTGAATTCCAGTGGGAGACAGCAGACAGACCACATACAACAAATAAGTTAGATACACTCCAGGAAGCGGTCGGTGTCGAGAAAAATCAGCCAAGATGCACTGGTAGAAAACAAAGGGTAGGAGTGATCTTTAGATCAGGTTATCGGGGAAGACTGCTCAGAGGAGGTGACAAGGGACTGGATACTACGGTAATGTCCACAGGGTGAGCCAAGGAGAAAGCACTCAGGGGGAGGAAGAGGGAGTGCAAAGGTCAGACCAGAGGGAGCAAAGAGGAGAGAGTGAGCAAGATCAGGTCAGGGAGGCCAGCAGAGGCCCAAGTGGGTGAGGAATCGGGCATTTATTCAGAAAGAAATGGGAAGCACTGAAAAATGACATGATCCAATTCATGTTTCTGTGGACACTCTGGCTGCTGTGTGGAAGTGGAACGGAGCGGATGGATGATCAAGTAGGGAGACAGTTAAGGGGCCGCTACAGGAGTTTGGGGAAGAGAGAATGCTGGCCTTGACCGCGGGGCTGGCACTGGGGATGGAGAGAGGGGATCAGGTCTGCAGATCGGGGGGAGGGGGCAGGGGTAGAGCCCACAGGGCTGGCTAAGGGCCTGAACATGTGAGGGAGGGCACGGGAAGACTCAGGGACGGCCTCTTGGGCAGCTAGGGGGATGGTGCTACCGTTCTCTGAGGTGGGCAGCGGTGGGAAGAAAACATGTCTCTGTGAATGGAAGGGGAGGAACAAGAGCTCGGCATGAAACGTTTCGGAGCCGCCTTGTGATCTCCAGGTCACCGGGGAAGGTCACTGGGCAGCTGGAGACGCTCTTGCTCTCTCACCGCGACCCCGTCATTCCCACCGAGCTCTCTGCTCACACTCTACCCCAGTCCCCCAGGCCGGGTAGCAGCCTGATTCCCAAACCACATCTGGCGCTTGGGCTCTCCCGCCTGCCTGACTGCCCCCCCACCCTTCAAATGAGCCAGCCCATCATTTTCCACTAGCTCTGCTGCATCACTCACGACCTCCTGACTCAGACACCACCTAGCTCAGTATCTGCTACACCTCTGGGCCTGGCTGCAAGACCCCTGTCCCAGCTGCCCCCACGGGGCTCTCCAGGAGCCTCAACACCCCTGCAGCCAGCCTCCATGGTGCCGGCTTCTGCACTGGGCACGCCTGGCTCCTCTCTCACAGACGGACATGGGCAGAACTGGGTGTCCGGCACACTCCAGATCTCTGCAGCTCCAAGGAAAATGCCTTCAGGAGCTAAGCCTTCTGCCAGAGGTGGCTCAGGCCCTAGAAAGGAAGTTAGAAGGCACAGTTTGGAGTCCAGCAGGCCCGGGTCTGAACCTCGAGAGCATCACAGAGCCCTTCGGCCTCTCCAAACCTGTGGTCCTCGTCTGTCAAGTAAGGGATGATGCTGGCGAGACGCTGAGCAAGTCACTACCTCCGTGGGGCCCCGGCACCCTCCAGGTGTGAGGAGAGGCTCCTTTCTGTCTCTGGGACTGGGGGAGGGGTGGGGTACAGGTTGGGCTTGGCTGGGGGGCAGGGGCGACCGTTCAACTCTCCCTGGCTCCCAAGTCCATGATCTTAAACACATCACCATGGACAACCATTATGTGTTGTTTGAGATCTCCTTCCTGTGTGGCAGAAAGCTGTGAGACTGGCAGGTGGAGAGACGTGGCTCCTCACACACATGTGCATGCATAAGTGTTAATAAAGCCCCAGGAAACTCAACCTTCACAAAGACCAGCTCCTTCCTGCCAGCTTTGTGTTTTGTTTTGTTTTTTAAAGACTGTATTTATTTATTTGACAGAGAGAGACACAGCGAGAGAGGGGACACAAGCAGCGGGAGTGGGAGAGGGAGAAGCAGGCTTCCCGCGGAGCAGGGAGCCCGACGCGGGGCTCGATCCCAGGACCCCGGGATCACGACCTGAGCCGAAGGCAGATGCCCAATGGCTGAGCCGCCCAAGAGCCCCTTCCTGCCAGCTCTGTAACTGCTGGTGTGCACCACAAATATGAGGGTTGCCGGGGCCAGGCCAGGCCAGGCACTTGTGACGTGTTAAGAGCACCCCGTGGGTCCCCCCGTTTACCCCCATGTACTCCCTCCTCATGACAGGACCTTTTATGATCACGTCACTTCCTGTCCAGGAAATCTCTCCTAGGGAAAATTCCTAAATATACAAAGAGATGCATAAATCATATTAACCACTGTGTTATATATAATAGCCAAGGACTGGGATGAACCTCTGCCTGATAAACCACATCCCATACACACCATCAAACATTATGCAGCTACTTTAAAAGAGGGGTTATTAAGTGTGAAAGTACAAAGAAAACATGCTGGTTAGCAACAGCAAATGATAACAGCAAAACAAAACTGTTTATTCAGGATGGTTTAAACCAGTGTTGCCCAAGAGAAATACATTGCAAGCCACATACTTAAATTTTTGAGTCGCCACATTTTAAAAAGTGAGTCTATATGAAATTCATTTTTAGCAACATTTTATTTAGCTTAATATATCCAAAAGAGCGTCATCTTCGATGTATACTAAACATGAAAAGTTATTAATATATTACTTTTTTCTACACGAAGTCTTCAGAATTCAACGCCTCTTTGGATTTCTATCTTTGAAATTATAGCACGTCTCAGTGCGGATTTGCCATGTTCCAAGTACATAGTAGCCACGTTGGCTAGTAACTACCTTACAGCACGGGTCTGACCCCTTAGAAATTTTAAAAAGACTTAAGTATTAGTGGGGGAAGAAAACTAGAAGGAAATATCAAAATGATCTTATATCTTAATGATCATGGACTTTCGCTGAGTCATAGGAATATATATGTGATTTTTTTCTTCCTCTGTTTTCCAAAGTGTCTATAAATAGTCAATTCATATTGCTTTTAAAATAATAGCAAGAGACAACGTTTAATTTTAGAATCAAAGGGATTTAAAAGACCTCACTGGGTGAACTACACCTGCTACACACTGATTTACTGATGCCTCACAAGAGGGCCCTGTGCCCCTGACACCTGCCGTAGGATATACTTCTCCATGCTCACTGGCTGATTATAGTTATTTGGTTGGGGGGGAGGGGAGGTAGGCTGGATGGATGGGAAGTGGGTACCGAGCAGCGAAAACAGTACATTACAGCAGATACCAGAGAAAACTAAACTCCGACTCTTGTTTCCAAATCCCAAAGCGATCACTTGCTGAAGTCATATGTATGACTTCAAACAAGTCACGTACCCATTCTGTGCTTTCATTTCCTCAAGTATGAAATAGCAATAATGACAGTAATTCCTTCACGGGGTTTTGTGAGAATTAAGTGAGATTATCTAGACAAAGTGTTTAGCACAGTGCCTGTCACACAGCCAATGTTTCCAGAAATGTTGGCAGGCTGTCCTTATGGAGAATCAATGAACCATCAGTGTGGTCAGGCTGTCCAGCTCATTAAGCAGTGGCACCAGGACACAGGCTAGAGCCACCCTTACCCTGGGTCCCTCCCACGACCGCTGTCCTCCCAAGTCCCCTCTGGAGAGTAGAGAGCATGGCCTTGCGGTCACAGTCCCAGTGGAGCTAGTCCCTGGGTTTGTGTATGGTCCCTCTGCTTGACACCCCCCCACCCAACCATTCCCCCCTCTCCCAACCACAGTTACACAGTTGCCACAAGCCGCTTACCTGCACCACCGCCGGCCTCACATTGAAGGTGCACAGCCAGTCACTGACGCGAGGGTAGCTGTTGAGCTCCGAGGTCCTCTCACCAGGAGCCACACTCAGCCTGCACTGCTGCTGCTTGCAGATGTAGCGGACCAGCTTCGCCTGTGAGAGCCCAGGGAAGAAAAGCTGGGTCATTCAGGCCGCCCCAAGCATTCTACCCAGGAGCCTGCTGGATGCCCCCCCCGCCCCCACTGCCGTCATTCAAACACCAGTGAAGTAGGAAATGGAGGGTAGAGGAGAGGAGAAACATCTGACAAAGCCAACAGAAGAGCTGGAGAGCCGCCCATGACCCCCTCCTCACCCCAAGGTGACACTGCCTCACCCCAAGGACTATGATCCCCAGAGGGCAATGGGCAACACTGGTCAGGACAGAGAATGGGGTTAAGATATAAGAAGGGCTTCCTGGGGGCACCCCTGGGTGGCTCAGTCAGTAAAGCGTCTGCCTTCGGCTCAGGTCGTGATCCCAAGGTCCTGGGATCCAGCCCTGCATTGGGCTCCCTGCTCAGTGGGGAGCCTGCTTCTCCCTCCCCCTCTGCCTGACGCTCCCCCTGCTTGTGCTCTCTCTCTCGCTATCTCTCTCTCTCTCTGTCAAATAAATAAATAAATAACCTTTATTAAAAAAGAAGAAGAAGAAGAAGAAGGGCTTCCTGCCTAGGGAGAGGTGGGGGAAGGGTCAGTACATTAGGCTACGGAAGATGTGGGGGTTTATGGAGAATGAGTCACCTTCCACTTAGGAGGCTTCCAGCCTAGAATCAGACTGCCTGGGTTGGGATCCGGGGGCTCAGGCACCCCCTAGCCCTGTGACCTTGGATGAGTTACTGAGCCCCCACGCCCAGAAGAGCCTCAGTTTCCTCCTCCAGAAAATGGGATGACAACAGAACCTCCCTCTGAGAGGCTGAGAACCTCAGTACAGCTCGGGCCTGATTAAAAGAAGGGTGAGCAGAACAGACAGAAATGAGCTCACAGCCCCAAGAGGAGGACCAGGGAGCTGCCAAGTCCTGCCACCTTCTGAGGGCTCAGTGGCTCAGTGGCTCAGTGTCAAGTGGGCACAATGGCCAGGGAGGGAACACTGAGTCAGAACAAAATAATTCCACTCAATTCCCAGTTTCAATATTTAGAGAAACCTCCACGGAGGCAAACCCCGGCCTTCCTGCACCACACACCTTGCAGATACCCCAAGCTGACATGGCTAATCAAACGTTCTTTACACCTCCGAGTGCCACTGCTAATGGAACACTCTCTGCTGAGCCTGACAACCCCGAGTCACCACGCAAGAAGTGCATCCGCTGTCCCATCGTGGAACTGAGCCCCCAGGAACATCTTCAGAGCACGGTTAACAAACAAGAAGATGTGAATGCCGCTTTTATCCTCTAGGGTCAAGCAAAGGCACTCAGGTCCTTCGTCCAGCCTCCCCCCATAACGATCCATCCCTCCCAGAGTGACCAGAGGCCAGTTCCAAAATCAGGGCCCCCAACCTTCCTTCCCAGGCTCATCACTCCACACCACCCCTGGCTCACCCTGCCGGGCAGGCGCACACTCACCTAGGAGCGACTTCTCAAAGACTTCTAGTACTTTCCTACCCCTGGGCCTCTGCTCCAACTGCCTGCAGTGGCGACGAGTCCCCTCCTCCTCCGGCCACAGTGTCCTCGGGCTGGGCGAGACCTCCCAGGCCTACTCACAATCCCCATCTCCCCTTGCACACGTGGGGTCTACACCGCAACGGCAGCCCCTACCACGGTGGCCTCATACTCACGCTTCTGACCCGGTCGCCCCCGACAGACGTGAGTTCCCAGGGCAGCAGACAGAGCACCAGGCTCCGGAGTTGAACCACATTGGGGTTCAAATGTAGGTTCTGCCACTTAACAGTTATGTGACCTTGGGGAAGTCGGTTCATTTTTCTGAGTTGTGGTTCTCTCCTCCCTACAACAGGTGTGGTGACTTCGAGCCCGTGGTCTGCTGGGGGGATTGAATTACCGTACAGAAAACACCCGAGGCTACACAAGTCCCCAGATCAGTACCTACTGGGGCAGGGACGATGTCCACTTCATTTGGGACTGTCCCCACACGCCTATTACGACACACAACGCTTGCTTACAACAGCCTGAGGAAGGAAGGAGGCAAGGACACACATGGGCCTCATCCCCGCGTTGAAGCGCTTTTCACAGCCGCTCCTTCCCTCCATCCAAGCTGCTCTCCAACCTCAAGCTTCGAAGAGCTGACCCAAGACAGGGCCAGACATCAAATAAGTAGACAGAGTCACAGAGGTCGGGCAGCAGGCCCTCACGGCAGCAGCTGGGAAGGCCATTTGCCACTGGCGTGAGAACTGAGGACCGGACCCCTGGGAGCCAATTAAGAACACATCCACTCTACAGATGACTTTGGCCGTCACAAGTCAACATGAAGATTGGCCAACCCCACCTCAGCAATGAGCCAGGGTTGGGGCTTTCTCGACTTCAGCCCCCTCCCACATATCCAGCCCCTTTCGGCCTCAAGGCCCTCTGCCCAGAAGGCTCGTCCCCGTGACCCCTGGGCCATAGCTCAGCTTAGAACTCCATTCCTGCAGGAAGCCCTGCTCCTCAGCCCCCTGCCCGCCTCCCCGACCAGAGCCGTTTTCCTCCTTAGCCTGCACACTCCACGAGGTCAGGTGCCTGGTCTGTGTTCTGGGCCCCCACTAGGAACCAGCAGAGCTCCTGGGGCACAAGGCTGGCCCCTGGAAAGCCTCTGCTGGATGAATGGACACATGAACGCACGATACATCCTGCAGTCCTGACAGGCATGCCCGTTTACCAGAACGATCGCAGAAAACAAAGGCCAACTGCACAAGGGGTCACTCAGGAGCTTGAGAGTCTCAAAAAGCAAAGCAAGTCCCCCTGAAGAGGAATGAGCAGCTTCTGTTCTTCAAGGCTGCTAGAGATCCCCGCTAGACGGCACCAGGCAGTCCCCTGGGTATGACGATGCAGAACTTGAAGGGACTCCTCACTGCACCCAGTTAGCCACCCATACGCCTGGCTGGCTGTGCTGAGACAAGGCAAGCGGAAGACACCCAGAGCGTGGTGACCCACTTGCCAGCAGGTCTGATGTCCCGGCGGCTGCTCTCTCCCGGAGCTCGTAAAGAAAACGACACCTACAGGTTTGGTTTCTGCTCAAGTCGCCAAGCTATTCTCGTTCACAAAGGACGTAGGGAGCCGGTGTGCAGCAGCTTCCAGCTGAGCGAAGACAAGTCGGCCTCACTTTTTGGAAAGTTGGTCACAGTCGCAGAAGCACTCGGGGGGGGGCTACTCTCCCAGACAAACCGCAGTGGGGGGCCTGCCAGCCCAGCCCCAGGAGCCAACAAGGGGACCGTTCAGGAGCGATGTCATTTTTTTCTTAACCACAAAACCGCAAGATATAAATTTTCCCGAATAGAAAAGCACCTGGGGTTTCAGCAACGGGACCAGCAGCAAGAGGGAAAGAGTCATGGGCTCTCCGGCCGCCAGAGAGGACCCTGGGCTGGAAGTGAAGTCTCAACTCCCGCCCCCAATGGGCTTAACAGCTGGTAGGTAGTACCAGCCACAAGGGTACAAAGGAGGTGCTCACTAAGTGTCCTCCCCCAGATCAAGGATCTTGGGGGAAATCCCCCTTAGTTCAGCTTCAATCTCACCACCTATAAAAAGGGTATCATTTTATGCAAGTGGGGGTCAAGTGAGTCACCATATATAAAACTGCTTGTAATAAGAAAAAAAAAATTATGAGCAACTCTATGCCAGCAAATTAGATAACCTGGAAGAAATGGGTGCATTCCTAGAGATGTCTCAACTACCAAAACTGAACCAGGAAGAAATAGAACACCTGAACAGACCTATAACCACTAAGGAAATTGAAGCAGTCATCAAAAATCTCCCAAGAAACAAAAGCCCAGGGCCAGATGGCTTCCCAGGGGAATTCTATCAGACATTTAAAGAAGAATTAATACCTATTCTCCTGAAACTGTTCCAAAAAATAGAAATGGAAGGAAAACTTCCAAACTCATTTTATGAGGCCACCATTACCTTGATCCCAAAAACAAAGACCCCATCAAAGAGGAGAATTACAGACCAATATCCTTGATGAACATGGATGCAAAAATTCTCACCAAAATACTAGCCAAGAGGATCCAACAGTACATTAAAAGGATTATTCACCACGACCAAGTGGGATTTATCCCTGGGCTGCAAGGCTGGTTCAACATCCGCAAATCAATCAACGTGATACAATACATTAACAAAAGAAAGAACAAGAATCATAGGATCCTCTCAATAGATGCAGAAAAAGCATTTGACAAAGTACAGCATCCTTTCTTGATCAAAATTCTTCAGAGTATAGGCACAGAGGGTACATACCTCAATATCATAAAAGCCATCTATCTATGAAAAACCTACAGCGAATATCATTCTCAATGGGGAAAAGCTGAGAGCTTTCTCCCTAAGGTCAGGGACGCGGCAGGGATGTCCACTATCACCACTGCTATTCAACATAGTATTAAAGGTCCTAGCCACAGCAATCAGACAACAAAAAGAAATCAAAGGCATCCAAATCGGCAAAGAGGAAGTCAAACTCTCACTCTTTGCAGATGATATGATACTGTATGTGGAAAACCCAAAAGACTCCGCCCCAAAACTGCTAGAATTCATACAGGAATTCAGTAAAGTAGCAGGATATAAAATCAATGCACAGAAATCAGTGGCATTCCTATACACCAACAACAAGACAGAAGAGAGACAAATCAAGGAGTCGATCCCATTTACAACTGCACCCAAAACCATAAGATACCTAGGAATAAATCTAACCAAAGAGGCAAAGGATCTGTACTCAGAAAACTATACTCATGAAAGAAATTGAGGAAGACACAAAGAAATGGAAAAACATTCCATACTCATGGACTGGAAGAACATTGTGAAGATGTCAATGCTACCTAGAGCAATCTACACATTCAATGCAATCCCCATCAAAATACCATCCACTTTTTTCAAAGAAATGGAACAAATAATCCTAAAATTTGTATGGAACCAGAAGAGACCCCGAATAGCCAGAGGAATCTTGAAAAAGAAAAGCAAAGCTGGCGGCATCACAATTCCGGACTTCCA